AGGGTGGAACCTAGTTCACCAGAAAAAATGAGTAACAAAGATCAGTTTAAAAAAGCCTGAACCAACACTCATCCCTGGTTTTTTGAACAGGTGTAGAGGTTTTGTTTATCCCTGAATATTTGGTCCTTCGTGTCTTTGTGTCATTATCACCTTGCCTGGGATGATTTGATTAAAAAAGAAAAAATAAACATGGTTGTTGTTGCTCAATCCTAAAAATTCTAAAATCAACCTAGATTTATATGGAGTGACAGAAGAAAGCACAAAGAAAGATTAAACGTATTTAGGCAGTGATGGGATTCAAAAATTTTAATAACAGGTTCTATGAACTTTAGAAACTGGAGGCCAAGTATGAAAATAAGTCATATGCCAGCCAAGTACAGGGACAAGTATAAAGTCGTCTAGCAGGGTGTGACCCAGAACACAAAAAAATAAATAATTTTAATTTAGACAATGCTTAAGGTCAACAAGAAAAAAAATAACAGATTCTGGAATATTTTCATATAATAATTTACTATTTTTAATGGTGTATTTATGTTGCATGTTGCTGTTTGGACAAATAAAGAAATATAACAAAATATTTTACCTTTTTTTTTTTTTTTTTTTATTAAAGATATTCTTTCAGTTTCACTTCAAATATTTCTATGTCAGTCAGTTATGTGCCATGTGTGATACACGCTTAGGTGATCATGTATCTTTCGATACATGACTTACGAGACAGATTTTTTTTCCCCGCAGTAGGTTGCCATTTCTTTCTGTGGTAGAACAGTTGCCATCCAAGGATATAGAACCTGGTCTGTCTTGCTATTTACCCATAGCTGGGGGAGAAGAGGATTCATACCTTTCCCAAGGGTATTAGCATGTAAGTGAATGTAATGGATTCGACTGGAATTCAAACTCAGCATATAGCCACTTGATTTTCATCATAGTGTTTAGCCTGTTTTCATTTTACTCTGTTGTCATCAGCACTATGGGTTTATTTACTGAAAGTGTGACATCTCACAAATCTAATGGGAGGCCAATTAGATTAATTTTCATTAGGTTTGATACATTTTTTTAACAATGATGCTACCTCTCTTGTCTGTATATATTATGTTCATTAGTGAGAATCCTCGCTCTGCTTCAGCAGAGCTGATTGCTATGGTGTTAATAATGTTCTTGGCTCTTTGTACACTTTGTGAAAATACATGCATATTCTGTGTACTACTGGTACAAAAGTTACTTAGAACATTTTCCACATAATCCCTGAATATCATTTTTCAATATTTGATTAAGTTTATCAAGTTTTTTTTGTTTTTTTTCTGCTGCCACCCATAGTACAAGGATTTCTTCCACATTCCAAGTTTTTTCATCAAACAAGTTAAACAACTCAATGAAGTTTTTTTGCTCATTGTTACTTTAATTTGCTTATCAGCAATCAGCAATCTTTTCTTCATATTTTCAATTATTGCATTCAATAGTTTTTGTTGAGGAAGACTAACAAACCTGTGGTTTTCAATGAACTCGATCTCTTTGAAGGCATCAGAAGCAATTCTTTCATCAATTTCCTTTTCATATATCCCTATATTGTCCTTCGGCAATTCAAATGCCTTGATGGACCTTTTAATGAGCCTTTCTGTGCTAAGCAATGTTGTGCTTTTTGCTTGGAGGACAAATGACATTTCATGTAAAATATCAATCATTAAAGCCAGGTCCTTCAAGAATTTTTTTTTCTACAGACAGGCTGTCAACCCTGAATGTTTTGTGTTAGTGGAGAAATATGTGTATAATGCTGGATAAGCATGCCACACAGCAAGTGCAGATCATAAACTGCAAGAAGCCCATCTTGTTCCCAAAAACCCTACCGATCTTCAAAATATGTTGCCCAAGTTCTTCAGATAATTTGAAGAGTTCCATTTGTTTTTTGTTGGTGAATTATTGTGTAGATTTTATCCATGAATATTTTAAAATGATTCACTTGTTTTATATCATTGAGAGAATCATCTAAAACAAGTTGCAAATGATGATTTAAACAATACCAGTGTACCATGTTAGAGAAATCTTTTTTAAGTCTAGTGCCTACCCCAGAATTGCGACCAACATTACACTTTCACCATCAGAACAAAAGCCTATCAAATTATTTCTCAAGTATTCATTATCAAATCCAGCAGAGAACAAACTTTCCAACATGGTCTTATAAATTTGTTCTCATCCTTGACCCTCTAAATCCACCAAATCCAAGAAAATTGTTGCTGATAAATCACAATCTTCAATTTTCACAAAAATTTTAAGCACTAACTTACTAGATATCGTTGAAGCTTCATCTGTCATAACACAGACGTTTTTATTTTGGGCAACAATTTTTGTGAATATTTCAATTTTAATTTCCTTGCCAATATGATCAACTATTTTCACAGCAGTTTTACAAGAATGAAGTTCAACACCCATGTCCAACCCATTTTTTATTTGTAGCTCAATCTCATCTTCAATATCAGAAAATGGCCGGCTCTGCTTTGTCAAACTATAGACTGTATTGAAAACTCTGCATGTAGATGCAATATGTTTCTGCATCAATGCATTTTGTAATTGTATCATCTGCACAATCATGCAGTTGCTTTAAGCAAACACTGTGGACCTTTTATGAAAAGTGCTCATTTATTTTTTTTTTCCAGAGAGTTGCTTGTTGGTTTGCTTTATGTCTTCCTGATGCAACAATATTGCACATTCTCCATTCTAATGAGACATGACATCCCTTCACGTTTATAGAATCAAATTTTGCGCAGTAGATCCTAGATTCTCATTATGAAATATTATGCCATCATATTTTTTCTGGAAATTTTCATAATATTCATTACTCCAGCAATCTGGAAGTAAACTTATTGCATCTGCCTTATATCCACTTTTGCACAGTGTCAGTATCTGCATTTGTTTCCATGCTGACCAGTCTCAACTGATGCATCAGCATTTTCTCCATCTAATACATTAGAACCAGAAGCAGAACCAGACATTTTTTTTCTATTCAATTTGATTCCATTTCACCCTCACTTGACTCGTGCCTTGAAGTTTCAATCCTTGGGATTTTTTTTGCACAAACCCCAATAAACTTTGTTGTCTCTTCATTTTAAGGCTGAATCATGAAATGGAGAAAAATAATTTTTAGAATTTTATTGTGCCACAAATTGTAACAAATATGTACATTATTTATAGATTTAGTTATACTTAAGTATTGTTATTTAAAAATTAGAATCCAGGAAAATGTTTTTTTTTTCAATTTAATTTAGATCTAAATCTAGTAGATCTAGTTAATATAAACATATCAGAAGTTATTTTTAGGCATATTAATTAGATCTAGGCTATTTTTTCTATCTGGCCCTAAGTGACTAAGTCTTATAAAAAAGGCACATTTAAACCTTTACAAAACTACAAAAATCAACCGCCATTTAAATTAAAATCAGTTATGTGCCATGCATGAAACACGCTTAGGCGACCATGTATCTTTCGATACATGACTGAGGAGGCAGATTTTTTTTCCCCGCAGTAGGTTGTCATTTCTTTCTGCGGTAGACCAGTTGCCATCCAAGGCTATAGAACCTGGTCTGTCTCGCTATTTTTACCCATAGATGGTTGGGTGGGGGAGAAGAAGAGGATTCAGATCTCAAAAGGCCAAATTTTGTTATAAACATAACTTACATAAGCTTAGTAGACCTCTCAGTAGATTTTTATAGGCCTAATTTAATCAAGCAGCAAACACAGTACTTGACTGCTCTAGCCTCTAGGCATTGTAGATATCTAAAACAGCCTTAGATCCTCTAGATAGTTCATCTAAAATAGAGAAGAGCTTGCAGAAGATCAAAACAAAAACAAAAAAACGCTTACTAAAAAAGTTCAGATGCCAGCTGGTAATTTGGTTCAGCAGAATATGATAGTGATTTTCCAAGCACTCACAACTCAGTAATTGATTTCTAGCAAGACAAGCTTTCTAACCATTTTTACACCACGCCGAGGTGCCCACAGAATATATGCATAGGCTATATTACGTATGTTTAGTTACGATATAGGTAGATCCCGGTTCATTTAACACATTAGCATGCACTATGTTATAGCATTGTTTAAAAATACAAATTTACGTAATTCTAACAACTGGTTCGTGCGAACCGGCTGAATCCCATCACTGTATTTAGGCCGACACAATGAAATAAACATTTAAAAGTTCAAATGTACGTGGACAATAGTTTCGTTTCCATTAGACACGTTAGCAAACAGTTTTTTTTTTATCTATATACTTTGATTCATTCGAACTATTGTTCCCATTTTTATTGTTAAGCTGGTTTAGAGAAGGAACCAACAAAAGCGAACATTACGAAACACAATAATCAACAGTACTCAACAACAGTCAACACGTCGTGTAGAACAATGCCCCAAATAAGTCAGTGGGACACATCACAAAAATAAAAATATATAAACGGTTTATGTAATTTAGAACGAAATAAATCGTTTAAAACGGGACTTGCTTCAAGGTTGGACATTGGACGAGTGTTCAGAGACTTCAAATCCGGTGTCAGATGGTTATTTTTTTAATAATCATTTTCAAACGAACATGTGGCCAGCGGGCGATTTAAAAAATGACATTATTATCCAGTATTTTTATTTTGCAGTTAATTGGAAATTAAACTATTCAAAAAAGTTAAAAACTTTGTACAATAGGAAACACTTAAAGAAAAGAAACTCTTACTAATGAGCGGAATAAAATAAAAAAAAAAAGTAAACTCTTTTATTTTTCTGGTATCATTTTAAAAAATTTTTAATATGGTGAAATTGAAATATGATCACTAATCACACTGATTCAGGGTCATGAAACCCTAGCTAACACAGTGATACTATTAAAATTAAAATACACATAGCTATAAAAAGAAAAAAACCTCAGTAATAAAAATATTTTCTAGATATGTTTTTTTGTGTAACACTACAGTAGTTTTACTAACGGAGACTTAGGTTACAGAATTTCGAAAAGGTTATTTATTTACCTGAAGCTAAGTTGGTCATCTTCCAAAAACCAAAACCAAACACAGCAACCAATATGAAGGTCGAGTTAAAAAGGATAAACTGGAGTTGAGAATTGTCATTTCTTCCCATCTTACAAGGACGAAAAAGAAGGCATTTGCAAAAAGTTCAATTCCTACAAGTACTTTCTTTTTTTCAAAAAACAAAAAAACGAAGACCTTATAACTGGATTTTAAATTATAGCCAAAAAAATGCTGTACAATTCTACATTTGGGTCACTGCTAGAAAAGCTTTTTGTTTCCTTTGTAAAGGAATTATGCTTGAGAACATTTTGCTAGTGAAAAAGAAAATTAATAAACAATTACAATTTGAATTTTTTAAAAAATCATTCGAATAGTAAGGGACATAACTCAAATATCAACCGGTGAACATTTTAAAATGACAAGTTGAGGCCCTTGTTGGAATATGTGAATCCCAAAACGGCCACGTGCCTAGTATGATCTATCTGCATTTGCAGACAATGTATTTAATCAGCGATAGATCATGCGTTTTGAAACAAGATAAACTGAGGTCTGGCTTTTTAGAGAACCAACAATCATCAAGATTCATGACGCAACTAAAGTTTATTACGTCTCCCTGATATTATGCTAGGAACGTTTATCAACACAGCAATATGCAAGAAGATAAGATGAACTGGTTAAAAAATTAAACTCTCATTGGCTGTAATGATGAGGAAGTGTGCGATGACGATACGAATTTCTTCTTTATGTGCCGTGTCCCCTCAGGATGTAGGCGATCATGGCTCTCCACAACTTCCTGTTCCTTATAGCTATGAATAAACTTTGTCTTTCTGTTATTTCTCCTAAAACCTGTTCTAAGCTCACTAAGTATGTTATGCGTTGTTTTCCTCTGTCCCTCTTGCATTCTATCTGTCCTGTGGGTATCAGATTTTCCCAGCAATCCTTTGTCAATATCTGCTCCAGTAACTTCAACTGTCTCTTTTTCATGTTAAGTATTAGTTTCCTTTTTGTTTTCATTTTTTTTCACAAACTGCTCACATATTCGGTCCGTGGTATCCTCAACATGCTTCTGTAGAACCACATTTCTGTAGCTTTAAGTCTCTTCCTCAACTTTGAAAAGATTGTCCAGCACTCATTGCCATACAGGAGGACATATATCACGTAGCAGTTTAGCACTCTTTTCCTTGTTTCTAGCGAAATTTTTCTATTTCTCAGTACTCTTAGCTTTTGGAATGCTTCCGTGGCTATCCCAATACGCCTTCGGATTTCAGTGTCACACTTTCTATCCTCTGTTTTAAATTTTCGTACTTGTTTAATTTTCGTATCACCGATTTACAATTCGCACTCTGAGCTTGTCAGGTCGACCGAAAGTTTCCATCTCAAGAGTCAAGTGTCGAATGACCAAAATCAGTATTTACGCATAAGCTCCGAATAGCACTTCCGGTAGGGTTGAAAACATTCAAATATAATACAAATTATTAATTGACCACTGACAGCGTTTTCCTCGCATTTTCAAGGGACTTTTTTGTGAGCGAGCACCTGCTTAAGGGAAGCTGTAAATAAAGACCATAAAAGCAAACATGGGGCAGTTGATGAATGAATTACTCGTAGTCAACTCAGCCGATTTTGCTGATCTACTGAAACATTTCACGCTTCTCTGATGTAGATTCAACAATGAATCCACGGTATGAACTTTCCCCACCTTAATGTGTGTTTTGTCTGTGAACTTTCTCCCTTTCAAGGGGTCTTATTAAACGAACCTCAATGTGTGTTTTGTCTATGAACTTTCCCTCTTTACAGGGGTCTTATTAACCACACCTCAATGTGTGTTTTGACTTTGAATTTTTCGATTTTCACGGTTTTAGCAAACACACCTCAATGTGTGTCTTTGTACCTTTCCATTTCAGGGGTTTATTTAAACACACCTAAATGTGTATATGTAACTTTCCACTTTCAAAGGGTTTTTATTAAACACACCTAAATGTGTGTACGTTATCTTTTCTCTTTTAAACGTCTATATGTGAACTACCCTTCTTTTCATAGGTCAGTAGAGTTAACCCCACTTACTTTCCTAACTAAAAACCGCCACTAGAGGACCCTTTCCGAACCTTGCAGAGCCAGTCTATCCAGATTAAAAGTGAAAAATTAAAACCCGAGTGTCGTGCCCACAAATACAACATAACGCAAAAAAAAAAAAGATTTTTTTATATGTCGTCAAAAAGGAAAACCGGTTTGAAATAATAATATATTCATGTATGCATTAACATTTGTTTTTACATGGTAAACACTGTGTTTGTTCTGGTCGTAAAAAATTAAAGTAGATAAGATCAGATGTTCGACAAAATTTTCCGTTTGTTCGTAAAGTCATATGCCTTGGTCAATATAAAGTGTGTATATATGTGCGTGTGTCTGAAGCACATTATAACGGAGTGTATGTGTGGCTGCTGATTGAATGTGTGTGTAGGGGTGAAGCACATTATTAGAAACGTTGTGTGTATGAGTGCTAATACGTGAAATCTGATTACGGTGGTTCCAAAAGGAAATGGACAGACTTATTTTTCCCACGGCTATGAATATTTCTTTGAGTTGTGTGGACATTCCTTTGAATAGTGTATAGTCGTAGCTGGCTGGGGTATTGTCATAGTAACGAGAGAATTCTTGTCAGGTGTTTACAGATCCAACCTCCTGGAATCGACGGGTGATCCACGTCCATCGGCTGACTGGGTTTTGCTGTGTCTGTGTTTATTGCCTCCGAAATCGGTATATATATAGTTATCCTGATCACTTGATTGGCTCCAAACAAAAGCTTTTCGGTTTAGGCGGGATAGCACTCAGCGACCAGGTCATGTGTAATTCAAGCGTACGGACGTAGTCGGAGCCATAGCACGTGACTGAACTGTCCAATCAAATTCCAGGAACCACTTATTTAATTTTGGGTCCTATTTTTTTTACTGATTTATACAAAAAATTTTGTTTTTGTGATTCTGATCCTATTTATGTATAGGCGTTTCTTACTTATTTGTGTTTCACTTATTGGTTGTAAAATATAGGATTTTATATCCTATAACCTGTAAATACATTGTAATATTTTCTATCATGCTCTTCTTCCTATTTTCCTTAGACACGTTAGGATGTAGGTTTAGGTGAAAATGTGTTTCCTATTGGAAAACGCACACACACACACACACACACGTACCTCCGCAACTTCATTTTCTCTAGGACTGCTACACACATTTTAAAAATTATTTTTATATCCTCAAGGCTGTCCTTTCAAATATTATTTAACTTGATTATCTAAATAAAGCTCTCTTTTCGTAATCTAGAATCTTTCTTTAATAACCAGTTTGTATGGTATGTCCACTTTGTCGATGATAGAGAAACAATTAAAATTATGTTTTTGTTTAGTTTACACTACACGCGTCGTATATATATATATATATATATATATATATATATATATATATATATATATATATATATATATATAGTTGTATTGTGAGATGTCTCGTCATTTCCGTGAGCCTGCAATAGAACATCTAGTTGTGAATGAAAGTTCTCCATTTTCAAGTATTTGTCGAATAACGATCAGTGCAGGGCCATTTCTATAAAATAAATTATTAGTAATAAGTAATATAAAATAATTAAAAATAATAATTAATTAAAACATGTAAAAATTATATTATAATAGTCTTAGTTTGTCTTTTGACACATTTGGGAGAAGTGTATTTAAAAGAAAGCCAGACGATTTATAAAAAGTAAAATTTGATGTGCTACATTCGTCTGTAAAATTTCTAAACTTAGAATTGACTTTAAAAAGAAACGCTAGAATTAATTAGGTCAAGGCAAACTGTTTCAAATGCATTTATTAAATTAAAAAATATATACCGTTTGTATCTATTGCCCAATCAAAAAGGTGACTTCCACTCGTGTATATTTAAAGTTAAGATCCGTCTGGAGTCTCTTTCAAGGAATATAACTGGAAGGGTCAGTGGTTAACTTCATATGGTAAAGAAATTTCGACTAGAAGAAGCGAAATTTTTAAAGTCAGAAAACGAGGAGGCATGAAAATTTCGTCCTGAAGGCAGAGAAATAAGCTTCCAGAAAGAAAAATTGTTTTTGGCTGTCTCCTGTGGATGAGCTGGCCTGTTTCTCACAGAAGAAGCAAACAGAAAAAAGAAGTGGATCAAGTGAAACCTGTGAATAGAACTGTTCTAAAGAAGAAAATATTGTCAAAAGTCCCCGTGACACAAGTGCATTTGTTGCCAAAGCCTCCTTCTGTTGTTTTTTTCGTCTTTTTATTTGTTAGGTTCACTTTTGTTTAAAGAGTATTTTCAACCTTATTTAAAGTTTTTGTATTACCTTATTGTTTTTCCATTATTGTATTTTCCAAGATTGTATTGTAAATCTTTTTTCTTTTTTTTTTTTTTTTTTTTTTTGATGTTATCTGCCTTTAATGAAAAGACGCATAAAATGAAATGGTTGTGCAAGCCTATTTTGTAAAACTGTATTTTGTTATATTGTTCCTATGTAATAAATGTAGTTGTTTCGAGTATTGATTGTTTTTTATTCCCTTTTTTCTGTAATCGGGACAGCAGAGGTGACATTCTCTTTTCTTCTGTTCTCTACCAGACAAAAACTTGCTTTTATTTTGCAGAAATAACGTTAACGCAAAGGAAGTAAATTTCTGTTTGTTTACACGAGGCCCTGCTACGTGAAAATTGAAAGAGAATATTACCGTCTGGTTAAATAACAGTTCTTTAAAATTATATGCGTGACTAAAATAGATTTTTAAGCAAAAAAAAATGTTAAATTAAGAGTAGATATCATTTTTAAAAGTAGAATTTTGCCTTGATTTTATGAAATATTTGTTACTCGCTATGAAATCTGCAACGGAACTCTGGGTTAGCTTTAAAAAGTAAATCTGAGAATTTTAAAAGTAAAATTCTGCTTTTAATTGGAGAAAAACATTTTTTTTTTTTTGCAGATAGATTTTTTTAAAGTAAATTCAGTGTTGGAACTGTA